CCCTGGTGGACATCTGGGTTCTCTCCACTTTTTAGCTCCTGTGAGTCATGTCAGTGTGGACTTCTCCAGGCCAGTCTGCCACCTTCGAGGCTTCAGTTCCTGAGTCCCACGACCCTGAGGCTCAGTCCCCCGCATCCTGGGTCAGTAGCGCCGTGAACGGCAAAGAGTGACCCAGCCCCGGCTCACACGGCTGGGAGGTGCTGCAACAATCATGAAGCTGCTGTCCGGGGGGGCACATGGTCTGTGCGAGTCCCAGCTACTTCCCTGTGCCCTCCCCTCTGCTAAGCACTTTGTATGGGCCAATTCAATGAATGCCCCAAAGCCGTAAATGTGGGGACTGTTCTTATTCCCATTCTCAGACCGGAAAGCCGAGGTACCTGGCCAGGTCACACGGGGCTGAGCTTGGAGTGTCACCTCCAAAGTCTGCCTTTCAGGTGAGGAAGGGAAGGCTGTGCAGTTGAGACATTAACAGCACTACTTCCTCAAGTGCTGACTGAGGACCAAGTGCTGTGTGGCCCAGGGCACATGCCTTCCGGGCCTCAGTTTTCCTCATTTGGGAAATGGGCTGATGCACGTCCCTCCTATGTCATCCTCACCCCTCGCGGAACCTTGGAGAAATGGGCCCAGCATCCAAGAATACAGGGGAGGGAATGTGGGGCCATTCCAACTTAGGACAGGCAACCTCTAAGTCCAAACTCTCAGCGGTGTGACTGGTGGGAGGAAGCTGCTATCCCTGAGCCCTCAGCAGAAACTCTAATATCAGCTCCTGTTTGCAGCAGTTGTGCGCGCTGGGCCAAGTGCTTTACAGGCAGCGTCTTAGTGAATTCTCACCACCCTGGTGGGTGACAGCCCGGCTGAGACCTGAAGGATGGGTTGAAGGCAGCCCTGTGAGGATAAAGGGGTGAGGATACAGGGTGAAGGGCACAACACATGCAAAGGCCTTGAGGCAAGAATGAGGCTATGTTCAGGCACCAGGGAGTTACAAGGCAGCTTTGAGCAGGGCAGGAACACTTTCTGATTAGTTGGTTCCAAAGCCCTCCCTGGCTGTCAGATAGGCAGCACCGAACACTGAGGGAATGATGATGATGCAACGGGCAGAGCCGGAGGTTTGACGGATAAAGCTGTGTGTGTTCTAAACCAGTGGTCGGCAAACTGTGGCCCCTTGAGTGTGGCTCTTCCACAAAATACCATGTGCGGGCGCGCACGTACAGTGCGATTGAAACTTCGTGGTCACACTCAAGGGGCCAAAGAGCCGCATGTGGCTCGCGAGCCGCAGTTTGCCGACCACTGTTCTAAACCATTTCATCCCCAGCAGCAGCAAAGGCATCCTCCACTAAGCACTTCACATGGACCAACTCAAACAAATGTCCCACAACCTTAATCATGGGGACTGTCCTTATTCCCATTCGAAGGTGGGAGCGCTGAAGTACCTCATCAGGTGCCCATTTACACGTGAGAAATCTGAGGCTTTGAAAGGTTAAGTGACAGGCTCAGAGCCATACAGGGGTTAGTGAAGGGGCCTGGATTCCAACCCAGGCCTAGCTCCTCAGTCCCAACTCCATGCTCTTTTTAAAAAAATTGATTTCAGAGAAGAAGGGAGAGGGAGAGAGAGATAAAAACATCAATGATGAGAGAGAACCATTGATGGGCTGCCTCCTGCAGGCCCCCTACTGGGGATTGAGCCCGAAACCCGGGCATGTGCCCTGACTGGGAATCGAACCGTTGACCTCCTGGTTCATAGGCAGATGCTCAACAACTGAACTATACTGGCCAGGCCGGACTCCATGCTCTTTATCACTGCTCCACCCTAGGGTCCTGGCAGGTCCCTCAGGGAACACCAACACAGATCAGGACTCAGAAGCCACTAGGGCCCCTCACTTGACACAGAAGGACAGTCCCTCCAGGCTGAGATGGGAAGCAAACCCCATGAGGAAGAACGGGACAGATTGGGGATCAGTGGATCCAGGAGAGTCAGGGTTGAGTCCTCGGCTCTGTAATCGTAATTGATGTATTTCCCTTCAAACCCCAGTTTTCTTATTTGAGATGTGGGGGTGATTCTAGTCCTTCCCCACACTAAATCCAGCATCCATTACTGAGCATCTACAACAGAAATCCTCTCCAGATTCCCCAGGAAAGCACCACGGAGTGGGGATTACTGTCCAAGTTACAGATGAGAACATGCCTCACCCCCTACTCCAGTGTGAGTCCCTCCATTTCTCCCTTATGAATCCTGCAGCAGACACACCAGCCTCCTTGCTATTGTTCAAATATGTCAAGAGGGTTGTGGGAAACTGATAAAGGGTTAAGCCTTGGACTGACCTGCTGGCAAAGTCACAAACAAGTCCTAGCTTAGAGGGCACAGTCCTCTTAGCATAATTAGGCTTGACCTTATAACACTCCCTAGATCTTATCTGGGAAGCTAATGGGCTGAGGAAGTGCAAGAACAGTGTAAACAAGTGAAACTCACAAGAACTGTGTAACTATGGTAACCACTACCTTGTTTACCTCTCATTATAAAAAGATTGGGGAGGCCTGAGCACAGTGGAAGTCCTTCCTCTTGAGTTGGACTTGCTCGCCTGGTCCCCCAACATTCCCAAATTATCTTGTGTCTTTTCTATTTCATTTGTGTGTGGCTCCACTTCCAGACCCGAACCCTGAACCAAGCAGGACGTGGAGGTTTCAAATATGTCAAGAGGGTCCCCACCTCAGTGCCTTTGCACTTGCTGTGCGCTCTACCTGGCTATTCTTTGTTCCTCTTTGTACCTAGTTAACTCCTATTTAAACCTCTTGCAGCCTTCAAGAAGCCTTCCCTGGGTCCCCTTGACTCTTAGACCTCAAACTTTTCTTTGAGATCCTTGTCTGGGTCGCTTTCCGTTCATTTATATGGTTAACAAATGTCCCTTTTTCTCACCAGGCTGGGAGCTCCATAAGGGCAGGGCTGGGACTACCTAGGTCACTACCGTGTCCCCAGTACCCTCATTCATTTGCACAATAAATGTTTTTCTTTTTTCTCTCAATAAATGTGTTTTTAAAATTTTTATTTATTGACTCGAGAGAGGTTGATTTATTGCTCCTCTTATTTATGCATTCATCGGTTTCTTCTGGTATGTGCCCTTACCAGGGAGTGAATCTACAACCTTGGTGTATGGGGATGGTGCTCTAACCAACTGAGCTACCAGCCAGGGCTCAATCAATGTTTTAGGCAAATGAGTGAA